ATTGCCTCGCGTTCTTATTTTGCATGAGTAGAAAATATTTTAGTCAAACAGTTAATGTCAGAAACAAAAATAAAAAATTCAATCTAGTACGGAAAATTGGTTTTTGCTCCGATTTTTGCAGTAATTTAGTCCTGAATCGATTCGACCGAACACTGTTCTTTACATTTGTACTGTTTTATAAACCTCAAACCGCAGTGTGGACACCAATAGTTAGTGATGTGGTTAAGTTCGATTCGAGATGGTTAACTTTTTGGTGGGGACATGGTATTAGTGATGTGGTTAAGTTCGATTTGAGATGGTTAACTTTTTGGTGGAACCATGGTATAACATATTTTAGCCGTTTTTAGCCGCTTTTTTTGCCAATCTAGCCGGTCGGCCCAAAAAGTTCTGGCAACACTGCTGGCAACGCCAAAGAGGTAACGCCGCAAGCGCCATTTTCCTTTCCGCGAAAAATTTTATCAGACGAAAAAATAATTGTTGCGTGTGAAAATTACTATTTTTCATTAAAAACTTGGATATTTGCTCTTTGAAACGCGTTTAACTTGCCAAGAAGAACAATGCGCGTGACCAAAAGTGATATAAGCTTAGAGTTAGAATGTTGGGTCGAGGAGTTGTCGCCAGCGCAACTTGCCGCGTATGAAAAGGTGACCAACGAGCACAATGCTATTAAAAATGCATTAAAATCCGCGTTGACCAGCAACGAGGGCCGAGAACTCTTTAATGGACAGGTATTTCAAGCATATTCATTCAAGGGTAAAGTTTTGCAAGAGTTGAAGGAGGCAACATTGCCACCGAAAAAACCAGCGAAGCCCAACCCTCCTGCTACGCCTTTGGGTGGTACACGAGGTGGCGGCCGCAAACGGCCTTCGAACTTCGTATATTTGGAGTCTTCGGACGAAGGAGAAGACGATGTGCCATTAGCGAAACGCATTGCAATAGCAGCAGGCAAGAAGGGAACATCGCCTGCAGGGGCTGCTTCGCCGGCAAGTGCAGCAAAGGGGCCTAAAGGTCAAAAAGGCGCGCCAGCCACACCTGCAGATAAGGGCTCAGTAGGCGCCAAAGGTGCAAAAGCCGCTGGTAAAGCTGCAACACCAGGCAAAGGAGAAAAAGGAGGTGCCACTCCTGCAACACCGCCGGCAAATTTCAAGCCCTCGGAAATAAGTTCCGTGGGTGGATTGGTTATCGGTACCGATGGCAAAGATGGAAAGGATGGTAAAGATCAGGGCAAGGAAACTAAACTACAGGGTAAAACCTTCCCTTCGTTGGTGGTTTTGGCCAAACCATGGCTTAAAGTTAAAGATATGTCCAGTACGCGAAGTAAATTAGATTCGAAGGTTAAGCTGGTGCTGATGTTGACTCCAAACAAATTTACTGAATGGCTTATTCAAGAAGGTCTATTAAAAGCTGAACAAAAATGTGCAAATCATCGTACGAACGAGTTGAAATTGGGTAAGTTGTTGCAAAAACGATCCCTCTTTCAACATAAATCAGATCTGGAAACTGAAAATAATCCAAATGTGTTGATTTTTTTTTAAATAAAGGGGCGATTCAGTAAGTCCTGCAAAACCCCTGCATTCACCTTGTACGGTGGACGGATTGCGCATAAAACCGGGTTTCATATGGGGAAGCATTGCAATCCGTGCAATCCCTACACCGTGCAAGGATTTATCAAGACCCCCTAATGCGTTTCTATTCCTAATGAATGCAAACATTATACTTGCATTTTCAGGTGTCTATTCAGATGCCACAAAGTTCCCTTATACTGGCGGCTATGTTTGGATCAGTGAATGTTGTCCTATGCGGTTTGTTTCTGTATTTCATGGTTCTATTTTTGAGGGCGCACCACATCCCCCATCTTGCATATTGAAACTTGTCTATCATTGGTCGTGCCAGACAAACATACAAAACGTGGTACAGTGGGTTAAGGTGGACAATGTGTATATTAAAGGTGTATACACTTGGCTGCGCGCTATTTGCACATTGGCTGTGCATCAGAAATGCAAAAAGTTGGGTGGACCAGAAAGATTTGTAGAGGTTAGTGTTAGATTGATATATATATATATCTACATACATACATAAAATTTAATTCTCCAATTTCTTCTCATATTTCAAGGTTGGTGTCATCTCATTGGGAACCACATCACAGGATGGCCAACAGCGCCAAGTAAAAGTCGAAGTTTTGGGAGTACTTGATTATGCAGAGAAAACCATACGCTTGCGGGCTGTCGAGCCGGTATCAGATGCTGATCGTAACTATAAAAAACGTTTCCAGACTATTTTGGAACCATTGCAACGTTGGGTACACAAAGATAGCGTGATTTGCATTGATCTGACTGTGGACAAAATGACACTCTACTCGATGGGTTTCAAGAACATTATACAAGCTGCAGCAACCGACACCAATGCTAAGCACACCAACTCCTCCGTTATGGACTACTTGCGTCGCATCGTGCCACGTATGTTCCAGAATACTTTATCATTGCTTTCACGTCAAATGATACAACAATTTCTGGATGAGTTGGTATGGCGTGAACAATTTGGCACCTATGCTTTACAGGCATTCAACAACATCACCGCACACATTGCGGAGCAGACACGCATGAATACAAATGAAACGCTAACACAGCGCTTGTATCAGGTACATTTTATGTTTGTTTGTTTGAGAGAATGTAAATGAGGTTGCATTAATGTAATTTGATAAAAATATATATATATATATTTTCATAGGTCGCAACAAATCCCTTTAAGGACTGGAGTGTTCTGCCAGCCAATTATCGTGAGACACCGGCAAACACAACGCCAAAGCGATTGAAAAAACGTTAGTACAAATTAAAACATAGTTGACGCTTTTCTCTACACTTCTGCCCCTTTTTTCAAGTTTGAGACGAAGATATTTTGTAGAATACATTGGGATAAAGCTTTGATTTTTGTCGTACTAATGCATAACTTTTGTTTTTTATCTTCTACCATTACAGCGCTCACTTAAAGCCTGATGAAGCAAACTTTTCAATGCTAGCTTGTGTCCTAGTTTTATATAAAGTGCTTAAAACCTCAAGCCTTATACCTCAACTANAATAATTGACGCTTTTCTCTACACTTCAGCCCATTTTTTTCAAGTTTGAGACGAAGATATTTTGTAGAATACATTGGGATAAAGCTTTGATTTTTGTCGTACTAATGCACAACTTTTGTTTTTTATCTTCTACCATTACAGCGCTCACTTAAAGCCTGATGAAGCAAACTTTTCAATGCTAGCTTGTGTCCTAGTTTTATATAAAGTGCTTAAAACCTCAAGCCTTATACCTCAACTAGATGCTAAGAACTCTCGAAAGAGCAGAATAATGTGTTATTTGTCCTTCAATTTAAAACTTGAATAATCGATAATTGTTGCAGCGCTAAATGTTATAACCATAGGTGTTATATTTATGCATAAAATATTAATTTTAGAGTACAAATTTCTTTAATTATTACGTTAACTTAATTTTTAATACTTGTGCTGAAGGTTTAATTCCAAAGAATTAATTTTGTTACAAAAGAGTTACTTTTAATTTGCATAAAATGCTTAATTTTGTACACAATCCAGTCTTTTGTTGTGCTAGTGGTTTTGTTTTACATAATTTGGAAACAAGCCTTCGACATTTTTTAACGTTTTTTTCTATGTAAAAAATAAGACATATTTATTTATAAACAAAAAGCATAATATCTTAATGATAATTAAGTGTAGTGAAGTTAAAATAATGATACTTTGATTTTGAATAAATTTCTTGTTTTATTGAAAACTAAACAAATATAAANTTATTTATAAACAAAAAGCATAATATCTTAATGATAATTAAGTGTAGTGAAGTTAAAATAATGATAATTTGATTTTGAATAAATTTCTTGTTTTATTGAAAACTAAACAAATATAAAAAGCTTTTGAATTTTATTTTTGGCACTTTTATTGAATATATATGCACATAGCTGGATTAAAAATTTGTGATTGTAAAAATTAGCCCACACACCAATTATTAGTATTATGCTTTTTGTACGAGATTTTCGAGAGTTTAGAATTGTTGAGTTATAAAGGCAAAATAGTTATATGAGAATTGAACGCAGAAACCTTATAAGAAGGCAAATTGGTCTTATAGGTAGTCTCCAATTCACTTCCGAGTGGGTTTCAATCAAATTCGCTTTGAATTCAANAAACGCAGAAACCTTATAAGAAGGCAAATTGGTCTTATAGGTAGATTCTCCAATTCACTTCCGAGTGGGTTTCAATCAAATTCGCTTTGAATTCAATTGCCAGGGGTTACACTAAAAGGATAAGTTGAGCGTAGAAATTTTCCGTCATAATAGGGAATGGAATAGGAAGTTTAGAGCACCAAAAATTTTGCTGCCGTGGCGCTATCGTCGAAACTGCATGCGATTTTAATTTTCCAGCACTTTAACTTATTTAATTTTTCAATAACCTCTTCTACTGAGCGTTCTCGTAAATGTCATTTTTCTTTCATAGCAATCAACGAAGCTGACTATGTTCAATCGGAAAAAGTCAGTGTGAAAAATATTAAAAAGGAGAAACCGGACAGCTCAAAGCATGATACTTCAGCTAGCACTGGCCGTCGTGGCCGTCCTCCAGCCGCCGCTACAGATAATGACTACAGGCCGGGACCAAAATCTAAGGTTGCAGGAAAAGCAGGCAGCTCGTCAAGTAGCAAAGTACCACCACCATCCACAAAGGGCTCAGCAGCGAAACATGCCTCCAATGCTAAGGCAGAATCTGGCTCGCAAAAGAAGATAGTGATCGAGGCTAAGATAAAGAAGGAGAAGGATGTTGATGATGATTTGAAAGGTCTTGAGGAGTTGTACTATGGCATACGCAATGGATTGGATATGAACTTTGAAAGTTTCCCTTACAAGAATGACAGTGGTGTTGTAATAGAGGCATCCACTGTAGATTGTCCCATATGTGACATCAACGATTCCTTTGATTCCAATGAGAAGCTGCAAACACATTTAGTTTCACATATCATTGCTGACAAGGATCATCAGTTCCAGTGTCTATTCTGTCTGGATAAACATCCAAGTGAAAGTGTTTTGACCAAACACAATCAAATTATGCATCCATTGGAAACAAAGTCTGGCTCATCGGCCTCTTACCACTGCTTGATTTGTCAGCAACGTTTCAACTCGTTGCATCACTTAACCGTGCATTTGCAAAAGATACACAATATGTTGGAATTACCGTATGTATGCCAGGCTTGTGGTTATCGTTCGTCTTCGCACCGCGATGCTGTGCGTCACTTTTATGATGATCACAAGAATCAGAACTTCTTGCAGTGTCCATTCTGTTTGGATGTGAGTGTAGGAAAAGGTTGAAGTGTTAGTGCTCTTTATTTTTTACTTTTTTTTCCAGATATTCCGCTTCTCCTACAAGGGACGCGTCAGCATTACCAACATTGAGAACTACTATATGCATATACGTGCTCACATCGGCAGGAAGGATTCCCAATTGCGTTGCCAGAAGTGTGCGCTTAGCTTTACTGAGAAAGGTAATTAAGTTGTGCTTTATAAATTTTTTTATATAATTAAAGATTGTTGCATTATGCGTTTCTGTTTCAATACAATTGTTTTACCCGTTGAATAATTTACTGATTTTAAAATTTTAGGTGCATTGAAGCAACACTCAACCAATCATCACACTNTTTGTTGCATTATGCATTTCTGTTTCAATACAATTGTTTTACCCGTTGAATAATTTACTCATTTTAAAATTTTAGGTGCATTGAAGCAACACTCAACCAATCATCACACTAGTCTCTTAAAGAGCACACAAAAAATACAGCCACTGCTGACCAATTCTGTTTTGATTTCACCACCGAAGGTGAACAGTTTTCAACTCGCCACAAAAGCACATTTTAATCAGGGTTTTCTTTATTCTTGTAGATACGCAGCCATCATCGCGAACCACTACCGTATACTATCGCTTCGAAGCTTGGTGAGTTTTATGCTTTTATTGACGGCTCCATTTGTGCTGAATGCAACTCCGAGATATTAAACGAAGATCACTTCATGTAAGTGTTGAAATTTAATGTATATTCCTAATTAAGATTAAACTAATTACAATTATACACCGTTGCAGTGGATTTTTGAAATGCAACAAATGCAATTACAAGTCGTGTTGTGAGCGCGCCGTCTTCGAGCATGCCGCCGAGTGTAGCGGTGGAAGTGGTGCCCGTGACGTCATGGAGCTACCACTACCAAATGAGATGCACTGCATTTGTGGCTTCTCCACATCTATTGGCAATAAGATGGCCCACCATCTGGCCACTTGCGGTCAGAAATCAGCTTATGCTTCTGTGGAAGCTGCACAGGAGAACACAGTCAAACGCAATATGCTGGACATGTTGGGCTTAGTGCGACGCGATGGCGAATCTGGCGCCGAGGGTGACGAACAGGGTAGCGACCAGGCAACGACTTCGGCTGAAGCAACCGCCACGGCCGGTGATTCAGAGGAGCTGCAAGAAACGCAGGGAACAATGGTTAGTGATCCAGCTGCACCCATACAATTTGGCGAAATGGAGGCCACGCCAGTGCTGGACAGCAGCAGCATGCAGCAGCAGCAACAAACAGTGGTCAGTATTGACGATGCCAATGTCGTCCATCAGCAGGCGGCTGTGGCTTATGGTGGTCATATTGTAGATAGTGGCGACGTACAAGCAGCACAGTATCACATTGGCTTCGGCCAGACAGAACAGCAGCATGCGCTCAACACATCCGACATTGATATGCCGCTAATTGGTGAATTGGCCGACCCCAATCCGCCAGCCACGCCACAATTTATAGGCGAAGTGCATACGCCTATGTTCGATGCGGTAGCAGCTGCTGAGCAACAGCACTACCATCAAATGATGCAGCAGCAGCAACAGCATCATCACCATCAACAGCAATGAAAACGAATAAATAAGCGGCAACGCGACTATACGCTGCCGTGGCAGAGCTATTGAGCAGCGTAATAAAAAAAGTAAATTTGAATTGAATTGCAAAAGCGCGATGATTGTCGATATGGACAGATAGGGTCGTGATTTGCGCGTCTTACACGAGAATGAGTGGGTGAGTTTGATGTGGGTATTCACAGAGCACATACTGGCTGATTTTCTTTTTCATTTAGTTGAAAATTGTCAACAAAAAAAAAAATTATCAATGGAATATTTTATAACCGAAAACTAATATGAACACCAGTGTTTTATGCCGTTACTACAAGAATAGAGTTGGCAAAAATTTTGTATTTATTTCTTTTGACTAAGAATTGATTCAAAGAAGCAAGGAATCAACCGAAATTAAGCTTTTCATTTTGTTATACGTGAGAAATTGATTTGGAAGTTTCTCGNTTTTTCATTTAGTTGAAAAATGTCAACACAAAAAAAAAAAATAATCAACGGAATATTTTATAACCGAAAACTAATATGAACACCAGTGTTTTATGCCGTTACTACAAGAATAGAGTTGGCAAAAATTTTGCATTTATTTCTTTTGACTAAGAATTGATTCAAAGAAGCAAGGAATCAACCGAAATTAAGCTTTTCATTTTGTTATACGTGAGAAATTGATTTGGAAGTTTCTCTTCGCAAATTAATCGATACGAACGGACGTAAGCCTATTTCGGGCGACGCAGAAAAAACAAATTAGATGCCTTGCGTTTAGATTAGGTTGGGCGGGTAGAAAATGTTGAGTTGTCTTAAAACTGTTTGCGAATATTTAGAAAGAATTAACATGCTAAGGAAACTTCTGTCAAAAAGTTCATTTTTTTTTCAGACCATATTATGTATGGCGACTGGTGTCTAGTTGTCGGTCTAGTAGCCATGGCTACCAGTATCGTACTTTGTATTATGTATAGCGATTAATCTCAGTATACAAAAAAGCGCAGATAACATCCGAAACTACTTTTTTGGCATGAACATCGAGAGGTTATTGGCAACTTTGCTCCAATGTGCTTAACAACTTATGTAAACAAATAACAAGATCGTCATAAGCTGGGAACAGAAATTTGCGCTACTAGACTCAGTAGCCGACAGTGAGTAGCCAGTTGCCATACGTAATGCGAATTTTAGTATATGGTTGCCCATCGGCTATCAGACGCCATGCATTAATTTTTGATTTTTAGTAAAAATGTTGCAAAGTTTAAAAAATTAAGTATTTCATATAAAAATTCAAATAATTAAAAATGTAAGATAAATGTTTAAAAATTCTTGAAAAACAGTGTGGAGGCTCACACTATCTTGGTTATCTGGTTAAAAAATATCATGCCTTTTACGGTATCCGACGGATGCCATCCGCATTGAAGGATAAAATTCTTGCGAATAACATCCTTCAGAGCGGTATAGGCATATATCCAACGGGTGTCATTCGCACGAATATAACCCTTCACTAGTTATGACAGTACGAATCGGATTAGATCTGTGCGTATGACATTCGTCGGTTACCGTAACAGGCATGTATTATTCCATAGTGTATTTTATTGTTGTAAACTAAATAAAAACAACTGGATAGTCTGATAACACAACAAGTGCGAACACCCATAGTTTTTAACAAAATGTAAGAGCTATTCACGAAGCTTACAACTTGTTCAGTTGATAAAATGAAACAGTAATTTTAAATAAATTATACAGGGTGACGCCGAATGAGCTATATGGTTTAAATGGTTTATGACTTTTTTATTTATGTGATTATAATTTTTATTTTTTTTTAATACAGTATATTATTGGGGAATTTTGTGCAATTAGCTTTGAAAAATTATATCCTGTAAGTGATGTCCATTTTCTGCTTCGCACTTACGTGCTCTTTTTAGCATAGTTTCCATAACTTTTCGCAGAATTTCGGGTGTAATGGCCATGATTTCATTTCGAATGTTGGTTTGGAGTTAGAGAATGGTTCTTGGTTTGTTAACGTACACTCTCTTGTTTCAAATATTCCCAAAGAAAACTGTTAAAAAGAATTCAAACCATATAGCTCATTCGGCGCACCCAGTATTATAACCAAAAATTTGAGGTTTTTTTTGGCCGAAATTACGATTTTTTTCAAGGTAAAATGCCGATTTTTCAGCAAAAGCATTCGGCAACGCTGCTGGTAGGTCATTTCCAGGCGTGGATCCCGTTGGCATAGAGTAAAAAAAAAACTGTTATAAAGATTCAAACCATATAGCTCATTCGGCGCCACCCAGTATTTACTGGATACGTGATATATTTTAAATCATATTTTAAAAGTTGTGAGTTTCGTGAAAACCTCTTTTGAACTTAGATATGTATCAGAAACAAAAATTGTATATTATGGAACGACCAAAAATACAAATATCTTCTAATTTTATTACGCTAACGCTGTTTGCTTTGCAATAAGTCTAGCGCTAAATTTATATATAGGAAACATATATAGGTTGCAATCATTGTTAAACTCGAAAAAGAATACATGCAACATTTTACACCGCTTTTCGACAGCCATTCTTCTGTGAATACCACTATCGAACTCTGCATTGTCTCGAAATGCTTTTATTTTTTAATTGATTTAGCAATTATATGAGCTGAAATCATTTTTTCTATTTGAACATTTATAAAGCAAAACAATTTTTGGCTTTATTTTCCTCCGAATACCGCACAGCAACTCGTACTCGCTAAAACACTAAACTTTTTTCTTAGTTTTATTTAAATAAGCAGAAATTGCTTAATGCAAAACAAACAAAAAGTAATTAAAATACTTACATACGTATTTATAAGGACTAAATAATTCAGGACAAAATATATTGGAACACTTTAAAGTCAGATAAAATTAAACAAATGACAACATAAATAAAGAAATATGTGCGTACATATACATTCAGTATAAGATCATAAACTAAATACACGCACGTGCAACATAATCACACGTATATGTGACTACATACTACGTATACATAAATTGAATTATAAATTTGCAAATTTAAATGACAAAAATTACAAGTAGAATATGTATAAACAATATGTGTGTGTATATACTGTACATGTAGCGCTTTGATTTACATTTTTATTTAAAAGCATCTAACGAGATATTGTCAAGCGCATGCGCAAGTGTGTCCATTAGTTGGTGGTGCAATTTATTAAATAACTTTCGCGCAAAATCAAATTGTAAAAAATTTGTTCTTTCGTGTTTGAATAAATTTGATAAACAACCCAACCGTTTTCATAATTTTTGCATTATATGTAGTTAATTTATGTGTGACCACGATTATTGGTTAGTATATACATATCAATAAAACAAATACAAAATAGGGTAAAATATTGCACCGAAAGAAACAAAAAACATGGGGAATGTTTTCTTTTAGAGAAACGAAAATAAAATACCAAGTACGTCGAGTTTTGAGCAAAATACTGCAATTATTTGTCTAGCTAACGTGGACTCTTCAGCTTGCTTTGAAAACGTTAAGCAGCGTTGAAAGCACAGTGGTTAAAAGTCATCATAAGCGTAGTCTACTTTTAGGTACTCGTTTATTAAATTTGGCGTTTTCGAATTTGGCACCATACCTGTGAGACGGCACGCACTTTCTAACGCTGTCCATTACAACTCATTTGCCGCATCTTCGATGTATGCAAAGCTGACAGCACCAGCGCGGTGTCCAGCTCCTTTTGCGTGCCACGCTCACTATCAAGCGAGATCTCTGCGGCGCGTTCATGAAAACGAGACAAAACACGCGGCCGATAGTCTAATTGGAAAAAAATGCAAGTTTATTTCGCTATAGTAACAGATTAAAACATTTTTTTTTGCCTTTTAAATACTCACCCACACTCCCCGCTAGCGGATTGCCGGTCAAACGTAATGTCTCTAATATCGGCAGTCGTGCCACATTGTCCACCTCTTCGAGTTCGTCAATGAGATTACAACTCAAATCCAAATTGACCAAAGACAGTAGCTTTCGCAGACCACTTAACGTCTTCAACCGATTCTGTGCTAAATTCAAAGTGACCAAATTACCCAATTCCAAGTGCCAATCAATGCATTCAGCTATGAGGTTAACCGATAATGACAGAGTCTGCAATTGTGAGAGTTCGGCTAGATTTTGCACGGCGCGTATTCGATTCTGGTCGAGCACAAGCGTACGCAATTGCGGCGCAGTACGCACGCTGGCATCAATTTGCGTGAGTAAATTGCCTGTCAAGTCGAGTTCGGCGAGATTGCTCCAATTTGTATGCACGTATGGCAAGCCACTAGACATGGGCGCATCGATGCAGCTACCAGTCGAGGTTGATAACGCTGCTGCAGAACTATTTGAAGATAGATCATCTGGCGCAGCAGACGCTGATGCTGCAGCTACAACCGTATCTCTGTGTATGTTGTCGCACATGAGTATTTGATTGATGTGTGTCATTGTGGTGCTATGCACACAAATAGTCTGCATTGTTGGTTTCAGAATTGCAATGTCGACTATATTTTCGGTGGACAGCCCATGGAATTTTAGAGTTTTAATATTACGGAATGCGTTTAGTGTGAAACGGAGACTCTTGGGGATAATATTGCTGCGGCCGATAGGCACATCAACTGTGTTATAGTCGTTGTTGAAGGAAGTGTTATCCTAGACGACGATAAGGAGTGTTATATTACTACTGTTTACATTTATAAGCAAGTCGGGTTTACCTTCACAGGCGTGACAATGAGCACCTCTAACTGGGTGCAGAAGTCAAGCACATGTGAAAAGTCAAATTTGCCACGGTGTTCGATATTATCCGGTGGACAAGGCAGGCACAAGCGTTCGCTTATCGCATAAACCTGCCAGAAAAGACGGGTCGTTAAAAAATAGAAACTTCAGCTCCAGCACTTTTATATAAATACACACCTCTAATGCGGAAAAGTTAAACTCCTTTTTGGAGCTCAAAAGCGTGCTTCCGGATTCGTTAAATAACTTTGCCAAGTCCTGCAGCAGATAAATTATATCGTATTTATTGAAATCTAAGAATTCTGCCAATACGCACGGTAATTGTATACGAAAGAATATCAACAATTCCTGCAAATATTTTTCTAGCTGTTCCCGCCGTTGGTCGAGAAATGCGGGATTTTTATTGCCCACCAGCTGGAAGATAAACAAAGTTAAGTTTCAAATGTTTTCACAGTAAATTTTATTTATTCCGCCTACTTTCTTGGGTGGCAGCAACTTCTTTGAAATTGATATTTCGTCCACCAACTTTTCGTGAAGTTGAGCAAAGTCGCGATAACGTCGTTCCACCAACCACTCCACCTGGTACACGCGCACTTTGATGTCATAGTAGACAACGCCAGTGGACGATTCTATATACTTTGGAATACTGACACTGGTCTCGGCGTTTTGCCGAAAGTAACAAGACATATTAAAAATTAACGAATTTCGACTAATCCGTTAACGAAAACTGGTGGTTATTCAATCGCTAATTCCAATGATTCAGATCTCAGGTAACCTGGGAACATCAGTAGGACGTGAATACTTACATACATTAAGTTTTTGGAGCTTACCGTACATAGAAATATTTGGTACGCAAATTAATGGTAAAACACAAAATGAAATTAAAGCCTAGGACGATACTATTTAATTAAATTACAATTTTTACTCCACGAGTGCAAAATTGTTCATTTATTTTTTTGCACATGAATGAACGATTGTGTCCAAGGCATTGTGTCAAACCAGCTGTTCTGCGGTTCTACGGGGGGCGTATAATGCACAATACTCTCAAACTGTATAAACAAGCCAACTNCTACGCAAATTAATGGTAAAACACAAAATGAAATTAAAGCCTAGGACGATACTATTTAATTAAATTACAATTTTTACTCCACGAGTGCAAATTGTTCATTTATTTTTTTGCACATGAATGAACGATTGTGTCAAATCAGCTGTTTTGCGGTTCTGCGGGGGGCGTATAATGCACAATACTCTCAAACTGTATAAACAAGCCAACTTTTGAGAGTCAGTGCATTTTCGTCCCAAACCCTGCAAAAATTGCGACTACTCCATACATGCGTGTAAACTCCCTAAGGACCAAGGAGTACTCCAAAATTAACCACAATTCATATAAAAAATATGGTCCAATTAACACTGCGATGTCCTAGGGCAGGACCATATACTCCATCCCTGCATTACATCAGAGTAGCACGAAACTACTCCAACATATTAACAATGGCATTGTTGTTATATATTTGCGTTTGTACACGCAAATGCTTCTCAAATGCTTTTTCGAAATTAATAAAAACCAAGACAAAAATTAAAAATTACATGTTGCCTCTGACGGCATTCGAACCCGAAAATGCTGGGAGCTAAGAACTAACAGCGAGCATCTCTACACGTTCAGCTACAGCCAGACATGCAAATGTGCTTTCAAATGCTCAACTTCAATCACGTTTCGTTAAAACACGAGCAGTGATCGGATAACAAACAATAAGCTGGCGCAGAGACACGAGTTGGTCCGCTACAGCATGACTGAGGAACACTTTTGTAAGTACTCCAATATACCACAAATAGACTACATGGTCCAACGATTTTTGCAGGGAAACAGTGAAAATAGAATAAAAACATAATAATACAATTTTTAATAAAACAGCTTTAACTTTTGGATACACTACGCAAATAATCATAAGCAATCGNTAGAAAAATACAATTTTTAAAAAAACAGCTTTAACTTTTGGATACACTACGCAAATAATCATAAGCAATCGCAATTTCATGCTTATCCAACGCCCATCAGATGGCATAACACAAAATAGATGGTATGTTATTTTATTGTCTTCTGGTCACCCCAACTCTGCAGCTGTCAGGCTGCATTTGTTTACGTCCACTTTTGGCGTTTGTGATTTGTTAACTTCTTGCGGCTTTTGCATTTGTAAAAATCTGGGCAATTTCCTTTTGTTTCGTGCACCTTTCGGTCTATTAAGGATGAGATAGAAATCGCATAAAGTTTAATAAGTTTTAAAATNCTTATTTTATTGTCTTCTGGTCACCCCAACTCTGCAGCTGTCAGGCTGCATTTGTTTACGTCCACTTTTGGCGTTTGTGATTTGTTGGCTTTTTGCGGCTTTTGCATTTGTAAAAATCTGGGCAATTTCCTTTTGTTTCGTGCACCTTTCGTTCTATTAAGGATGAGATAGAAATCGCATAAAGTTTAATAAGTTTTAAAATACTTTAGCGTTGCAAATACCACAGCGGTATGGCATTTTTAGAAGACTGTATAATCGTGTTCGTGTCACAGGTTGGTGCCTTGCTATACAGGACATCAATTTTCTTTTGACTTTTAATATTTTCTCTAGACCCTGTTCTTCAGTGGAGGCTGGCTATTTTTTATGAAACAATTATTCAAGAACTATGAGATACGACATATTTCCGTGCAGCTCATATTCTCGGTGTGCTTTGCACTCTCTCTCACCATGTTTGAGCTAATAATCTTCGAGATTTTAGGAGTGTTGGAGTCTAGTTCGCGATATTTCCATTGGAGGCTCGGCTTAACCTTACTACTACTGATGGTGATTGCCGTCATACCACTATACATTTTATATTCCGTCATACATAGCATATCATTTGGTAAGGCATTCGCATTTTAACATTATAAAATATTTCACAAGCGTCCCTTTAGTATCTGACAAATGGGTGCGCATCATTACCGTATTGTGCTGGTTTGTGTTCCTGTACGGTCTTTGGAAAATAGGCGATCCTTTTCCGTTACTAAGCGTTTCACATGGGATATTCACCATCGAACAAGGCGTATCGCGTATTGGTGTAATTGGTGTGACCGTAATGGCTGTGCTGTCTGGCTTTGGTGCCGTTAACTGTCCATACCAAAGCATGACTTATTTTATAAAGTAAGCTTTTATGCATTTTTATTTTTTTGAATAATACGATTTTATGATATTTTTCAAATATTTTGTTTACAGGCCGGTATCCCAAAGTGATATCTTAAATTTGGAACGTAGGCTAATGCTTACAGTCGATATGATAGTTGCGAAAAAGAAGCGTATTGCATTAGAAGAACATCGTCGTAAGAAGGAAAATAATACGAGGAAAGGATTGTGGAATATTCTAAGTTCGGCTGTCAACCGTCTGGACAGCAGTGGACAAGGTTTGTTTCAATTCAATCAATTTATTTTTATCAGCAGTAAAATTATTTTTTTTTAGATATTGGTCAACTGCGATTAGAAATATACGGCTTGGAGGAATTAATGCGACAACTTTTCTTGGAAATTAATTCAATGAAAAACATGCAAGAACGACAGAAGTGGTCACAGACATTGCAGGGAAAATATTTTAACGTGTTGGGTCATTTTTTCAGCATTTACTGTCTTTGGAAGATATTTATTGTAAGCAAACTTTCATATACATACTTATCTGTAAACCTCTCATAGTTAATCGAAGCTTCATTTACTTTGCAGTGCACAGTCAATATAATATTTGATCGCGTCGGTCGCAAAGACCCAGTTACACGTGGTCTTGAGATCGCCGTACACTGGTGTGGTTTCGATATTGATCTTGTCTTTTGGAATCAGCATATATCCTTTTTGCTGGTGGGCTGCATTGTTGTGACGTCCATTCGGGGTTTACTACTAACGCTAACGAAGGTTATACACAGAATTTTTACTTTTGAAAATTTTGCTCTAAACGTATTTGTCTGACTTTTAATTACAGTTCTTCTATAGAATATCTTCCAGCAAATCCTCGAATATAATTGTTCTTATTATGGCTCAAATAATGGGCATGTATTTCTGCTCATCAGTGCTGCTGATGCGTATGAATTTACCTGCTGAGTATCGTGTGATAATTACTGAGGTACTGGGGAGCCTGCATTTCAACTTCTATCATCGTTGGTTCGATGTTATATTCCTAGTGAGCGCATTGAGCACCATATTGGTTTTATATCTCTCCCAAAAACCTAAATATGATTCCAGCATAGATTAGTAGCGATAAATTGAACTAATCGCTTGCTGAAAGTTTTTATATTTGCAATTTGTAAAAAAATACAAAGATTGTAATTAAGGTATGTAGGTATGCTACCGGAAAGGATGTGTACTTGTATTTAGTAAACCAAAAATACTTCTATAACTGTAACATTGTTAAGCCTAGCATATTTATCTGAATTTGAAAGAACTGTGAACAATTTTATGTCTGCATGTAATGTAAAGATTTTTCGCCTATTCCGCAACGCACAAAATTCAGCGGGTCATTTAAAAAAAAGAGTATTTCACAACTGCTAAAACCTATTGCAATAAAATATTCCATTATTTTAAAGCAATCATTATTTATTCCATGATAATAATACTATAATGTTTCTATTATGATCTATGCAAAGTTAAATATGAAAACGAAAGTAATAAACTTTATATGTTATGTATACGTAATTCTAATAATCTCTAATTAAAGCCACAGATTTGGACTAGGCCTATTTAATATTCAGTTTATGGGTATTTATTTTTGGGTACATTAGAGTATGATTTATTTTGGAACGAATTTCGGTCATCCCTTGACAAACTTGGCTTCGTTCCAGAACGGAAAATGACGCTAATAACAGGTCTATTCTGCGCTGGTAGTAAAAATTTTGTTACCGGTAATTAAAGTTTCTTTCAATTTTTAAACGCTTTTCGCATTCTGTGTACTCTTGTAACCGGTAAATTTTGTTACCATCTCATAAGCTGGTAACAAATTGAATTGCTGAATATTTATTTTTATTTTATTTTATTTTTTTTTAACGCTAAGTTTCCATCGCCAAAATTCTCTAAATGAAAATCAGTGGGACCTAAAAGCACGCAACATGGAAAAGTAACAGATGCAATGTGTAATCAACCAAAGCTGGCAGCAAGGTACATTGAACAGGTAGTATCAGTAGAGCAGCTGATTTGATTTATTTTCAAATTATTTGGTCTCGAAAATGTCAAATATTTTGAATTTTTTCTCACAAAAATTCTGAATTGTTAAAATCCATTTGCATGTGAAACCTTTTTCCATACAAAACAAGCGATTGAATAGCTGCTTTTGGAACGTTCGCCCAACTCGGCAGCACAACCGCTGATTACTGGGCCTTGCAAAGGATGGATCAATGCTTCGAGAAGCAAACAAATTTACTAGGAAAGAAAGT